CTCAGGTCAGGATCTCACAGTCTGGGTTTGAGCCCCGCATCGGGCTCTGTGTTGACAGCTCAGAGCCTGGAGCCTTCTTTGGATTCTGTGTCTCCCTCTCTCTCTGACCCTCCCCTGCTCATGCTCTGTCTCTCTCTGTCTCTCAAAAATGAATAAACGTTAAAAAAAATTAGTCTGCTTGTTATTGACCTTTATTTGTCAAAACAAAATGAATAACAGTGTAGCACTTTGGCTCGTAATCTGGTGTTTCTTTTTTTTCTTTTAAATTTAGAGTTTCCTCTCTGGTTTCGTGTGCATTATATTTGGAAAAGACTGATGTGTATTGAATTCATCTGGGAGGGGGAGAGGACCTCAGTTTTATTTTCTAATCTTAATGGCTTAATAATTAGGAGTTGGGAGGAAAATAACTTATGACTGTGTTGTTAAACTGGTAAGCTTTAAATTCCGGGGTAAAGTTAGCTGCTGTTATATTTCTACTTACTTTACTTTACATCCAGGTAGTTTGAATCCTCTAAAATTCATTAAATGCAGTTTATCTATTGATATCTTCATGTACACTTTTTAAAATGTTTTTATTTATTTTTGAGACAGAGACAGAGCATGAGCAGGGGAGGGGCAGAGAGAGAGGGAGACACAGAATCTGAAGCAGGCTCCAGGCTCTGAGCTGTCAGCACAGAGCCCAATGCAGGGCTCGAACTCATGGACTGTGAGATCATGACCTGAGCTGAAGTCAGACGCTCAACCAACTGAGCCACCCAGGCGCCCCTTTCATGTACATTTAAAATTTAACCTGTTTTAGCATTTTTCTGCCCAAAGAAGATGTTTTGACATTTACCTGCCCAAATCTTATATGATTTATTTGGGAAGGTTCTTTGGTTTGTTTTTGCTTTTGTATTTTTCTGTTAAGGCTATTTTCTTTTACCAGTGTGTTTGTTATCACTTAGGGCCGGGATTTTATAAAAGAATCTGGAATAAAAGGTTGCTTTTAAAATTCGTCTGGAGATCATTTTGTGTTTTTAGAAATTTTGATTATGCTAGTGGTTGGCTAATCAGATCCTTTGCTCCAGGGGTTTGTTGAGCGACATTAGGACACTCGCCCAGGATAGGAGTTAGGTACAGGGAATGTCGGAAGTTCTTCATTGTGCTTCCTTGCTTTCACTTAGAGCGGACTTGTGTGCACTTGTAATTCTCTGTCCTGTTTGCCATTTACACACTTCCCCACGTCATCGTGATTTCTTTGCAGGGGGAGAACTGAATGAAATTCCCTTAGGGTCCTGACTCCTGAGTGGCCCTCCTCCGCGGGGGATAGTGGCTGATCCTTCCTCCCAGGAGCGCGGGTTCTTGCCTCTTGCTGTTGCTGCCTGCAGAACCCAGATCCCGCGCCAGGAACTAAATGAAACACTCCTTTGGAAGAATGCTATTTATTTCTTTACATATTTTCTTCGCGAACCCCCACCTCCCTGTTTAAAAAAAGAAAATCTCCGGAAAAAAAAAGCCCTTGTGATTCAGTTGCCTGATGAATTTCAGTCAAAGGCCAGCTCGGCTTGTGCTCTTTAGCAATCGTTTGCCCAAGCCTGTGTGTGTGTTTTCGCCCGCAGACAGCCATGGCCTCCGGCAGCACCGCCAGCGATGAGGAGCGCAGCCTCCGCGAGTGCGAGCTCTACGTCCAGAAGCACAACATCCAGGCGCTGCTCAAGGATTCCATCGTGCAGTTGTGCACTGCCCGGCCCGAGCGACCCATGGCATTCCTCAGGGAATACTTCGAGAGGCTGGAGAAGGTAAATATACACGCGGGAGACCCGACGACCCCGGCGACTGTTACACGTAACGCCGTCGAATGTCCCCAATTTGTACCACTTGGAAGAAAAGGCATTTGGACCAAACAAGAAATCTAAACTAGAGTTTCACAAAAAGAAGTGCAGTTAAGGCATTTCTAGTAATTTTTAACTTCGTGATCGGCAGAATGCCTCAAAACAAACCTGCATGGCGAGTTACCTGGGTAGCAGAGGGCTTCTAAACAGTAGTCCCTTGTAACCGTCTTGATTGACCCATAAACCTGATTAAAATAAGTAGATACGGTTGATCAGAGGTAGCGGTTGTAGGACACGAGAAGTTCTGCAGCTAATGCTTTCGTTTCCTTCCACAAAACGAGTGAGCTTCGTAGACCTTGTTTCGCCTTTTATTTTATTTATTTATTTTTTTTAATTTTTTTTTTCAACATTTTTATTTATTTTTGGGACAGAGAGAGACAGAGCATGAACGGGGGAGGGGCAGAGAGAGAGGGAGACACAGAATCTGAAACAGGCTCCAGGCTCTGAGCCATCAACCCAGAGCCTGACGCGGGGCTCGAACTCACGGACCGCGAGATCGTGACCTGGCTGAAGTCGGACGCTTAACCGACTGCGCCACCCAGGCGCCCCTTGTTTCGCCTTTTAAAACTAATGCAATGAAGCATTTGAGTCTAGCTTCTGACCAAGCGGGGGATCTGAAGTACAGGCGTCCGTTTCACTGGGGACTGTATCTCAGATGAGTCGGACTGTAGAGCAGAGACGCGAAGGGTGACGTGACCGGTGTCGGAATTTTCCTTTACTGACGGTTTTGGTCAGGACTCGTTTCCTCTTGAAAAAGAGCAGTTCAGTTTTTATTCTTTATCGTTCATCCTCATTGCGTGTGTCACTGTGACCTAAGGATATGCTAAGTGCTTTTCTAAGCCGAATGGTAATCAAGGACAATGCTTCAGTTCACTTCCCTCAAGAAATGATGAATGAGAAAGTCTGGAACGTTAAATGCTTTCAGTAGTTTGATTTGTTTCTGTAAATTGAGATAAGTTTACAGGTTTTTTTATACATACTGAAGCTTTGATGTGGTTTGAAATGATTATGAACCACTTGGGAGGCATTTCTTAGGTATGTGGTGATTAATTATTTAATTGTATAATAGAAATATTTGTAATATATCCCATTTGTTTGGAAAATCTTTTAAGTGGCATACCATATTAGTGAAGAATCTGTGTATACTAAGATTTTAAAAGTGTTTGGGTAGCTCGGTGATCAGACATTTTCTACTACTGTTTTGTTGAAAAGGTGTTTGCTAAAACTGGTGTTTATTAGTACCATGATTAAGATAATTAACAACAAAAGAACCCCTAACCGGTTCCCAGGAACGTGGCCTCGCTGTTGTAGAATTGTATTAGAAAGTCTCGTTTGCTCCGTTGTAAGCAATTTCCAAATGGTTCGTGAAATACCGTAGAGCCAGGCTGCCGTGGGCGTTCCCTGTTTTGAAATAAAGTGCGTTCCTGGAGATCTGGTTCTGAAATGGGTCACTGTAAGGTGATCCCTCTTCGCTTCAGACATCAATAGAAACCAGCGGATGAGGGAATGAAGTGGGTGGGACATTAAGGGTGTGTCTTTTTATAGGGAACATGGAGTGTGTGGTCACTGCAGCGCCTGGACTTACCCTCGCGCTGCCGAAGCCTCCCCGACAGGGAGGCAAGAAAGCGTCCTTAACGGAGGGTTCTGCAGAATGGGATTTTTAGATTTAATGTGTATTAGCCTCTTTACCTCTTAACAAAAGTCCTGGCTGACACACTCCTTCCTGTAACTCAAGGGTCTTTATTTCACACGCGCATATTCCTTTAGCCAGGGTCCAGTGTGGATATCTGGGCTTTTAAGGAAGTAGATTTTCAACTTTTCCACAGGTCGTTGTTCTGTACGTCAGGTGTTGGGTTTAGTATGTCTGGAAATACACAGTCACATTCTTGTCACGTCCTTTCCTGTGTTAACCAGGGGTCGTGTTTCTGGTTGAGCTACTCAACGAGAAGTGTGCCCCAGACTCACAATTGGTCCGTTGGAAAGCTTCCGCGTTTTACTTCAGACTGTCATCTGAAATTGAAGTTCGCACTTGTGCATGTATTTATTAGAACCTTGCCTGTCTGATAGGTCAGAGGAATTTTAATTGCCGTGACCACTGAGTGTCTCCACTGAGTGCCAGGTTCTGTGTGAAGCACTTTGCACACATACATATTCCTCATTTCAGATGTGAGAGGTAGGTGACTAGCCCCATGTTAAGAGGTAGCGGGTAAAACTCAGAAGCGGAGTGACGTGGCTTGTACACGTGGTGTGGCAGTTAACTTGTACTGGGGCGGCATGCGACCCCCTCCTCCCCCACCCCGATCCCAGTGGCTTACTCTACATAAAGCCCCCGATTGCAGTGGCTGACTACAGAAGACCTTATTTCACGGTCCTGGGCAGCTCTTCTGGGCTCAGCCCCTCCTGTCTTCCTGACTCCACATGTTTCTTGTTCTCTGTCTTCCTGACTCCACATGTTTCTTGTTCTGGAGCTGAGTGCAAGGAGCAGCCACGGTATAGAGCATGCTGTTGCTCAAGGTGAGAACCACCAGAAGCCCAAGCAGGGCAAACCATCAAAGGGGGCGCAGTATGGTGCGTCCACTTGCATTCCAAGGCCACGCCCCACGTGCATTTGCTTGGAAGTTTGTCTCCCCTGTGGGGAAGAGTGGAACGGCGAGGGGGGAGAGAGAACGAGTAATTGTTGGAAGCCTGTTAAGTCAGTGGTGGGGATGCTGTGAACTTAAACTCGAGGACGAATGCCGGCAGCCATGAAGTAGATTAGGAGGGTTTTTTGGTGTGTTTTTTGGCTCCTTTTGGCTTTTGTTTTCATGAGTGGGAAAACCGAAGAGGGGAGAGGCTGGCAGCAGAATGACGACAGCAAGGAAAAGGATATAAAAATGTATCCTAATATGTACTAGGATTCGATCTCAGTAATGGATGTGAGTCACCAAGATGAGGTTATATCTGATTGCTGTTGAAAGAGGATCCATGAAACAATGTTAAAAATCAAAATGCTTTTGGTCCTTAAAAATTATCTTAAAAATTCATTTAGATGTCGTTCTAAATGAGATGCCGTTTGTGTCATTTTTCGTGAAATTTTTGTGAAATGCCAATGACAGATTTTTGGAGGTAGAATTTGTGTTTTAATTTATGGCCTTCAGCTAAATTTGAGGAGACACGAGTTTTATAGTTCTTTGTTAGTATGAGGTGGGAAAACTTACTGGTTATTGGAATTACCAGAAGGAAAATGAAGTGGGTTTTCTGAAAAATGTGTTTAAAAAAAATTTTTTTTTAAAACATTTATTTAGTTTTAGAGAGCGCAAGCAGGGGAGGAGCAGAAAGAGAGGGAGACACAGAATCCAAAGCAGGCTCCAGGCCCTGGGCTATCATCACAGAGCCCTTCTCCGGGCTTGAACTCACAGACCGTGAGATCATGACCCGAGCTGAAGTCAGCTGCTCAACCGACTGACTGCCCAGGTGCCCCTGTGAAAAATGTAGTTTTAAAGAAAATGGTTACATGTTTGCACATGGTTCAAAATTTTGCAAGTACAAAAGGGTGTGACATAATAAAATATAATGAAATGTATGACATCTGTTTCCTATATAAATACATAATCTAACATAGTATATAAGATATTTTATCTGAGTAAAATTGTACGTTTTTCTATAATACTATATAAATATGTAGTGAAAAGTCCCATCCCATTGTCTTCTTGAGTGCAGCCAGTTTTCTATAGATAATATATGGGCATTTACCTACAAAGTCATATATAAAAAAGCTTCCTGTTTTCCAGCAGGTGCATGGCATTCCATTGTATGGAAAAACTATAATTTATTTAATCATTGAGGACCATTTTGGTTTCCACTGTTAGGCTGTTACAAACTATTACAAATGATACAATGAGCAACTTAGTATATATGTTTTATCACATGTATGTATATGTTGGAATAAATTCTTAGAAGTAGAATTTCTGGATTAGTTGGTAAAGAAGTAAATGCATTTGTAATTTAGTATAAAGCATAGTAAGATTGTTTTCATTGTATGTTTTTCTTACTGTGTTTTCTTCTAAGTTTGAAAATTAGAAAATCCAGAGAAATGAGAAAAATAAAGCCAAACCTTCTCTCCAGAAAAGAATAAAAATCAGGCATGATTCTCCTAATAGAAATTAACATTGTTAATACCTTGATGGTTATCACCCTAGGCTTTGTTGTGGCATATATAAGCTCTTTTATTTGTAGAAGCAGGGCTAAATACCATGTCAGAGAAGAAGTAGGCATCTCATTAATTTCTTTTATCAAAAATCTTTTTGAAATTATCAGTAAATGCGAATAAGTTCATTTAGAATTTGAAAAATGGTTTAGAAAAATAATGGAGAATGAATGAGTCAAGTGAATGAGAGCATAGTAGAGAATACGTTCTTGGGGTTTGTTTTTTTTTTTCATTTTTATTTTATATCAA